GAGTCTTTAGCTCCCTTAAGAGGGAGGGAGTCCTCTGACCCCCAATGCCTTTCAAAATTATCTTTCGTCTCCAGACTCTTTAATCATCTATGTGCAGCCCCTTTCTCCAAAATGCTGACCCCTTTGTAAGGCTGGGAAAGGAACCCCGGCATAATGATGCCCGTATGAGAGACACCAACATCCTCCTGTCGGTCATGACCCGTTACAGGTCATGGCCTAATTGGCATATTCTCTATCTATCTATCTATCTATTTACACACACACTATATTGTGATCTAATTCATATTTATACATACTGAGTGGCCAGATTATTATGGGTCATAATAATCTGGCCACTCAGTATATATATATTTTAAAGGCCCGGTGCATGAATGTGTGCATGGATGGGGTCCGGCCAGCCTGGCCAAGGTGAGGGAACATGGGTGGTTGACTGGTCTGCCTGCTGGTCATATTCCTGGTCAAGGGGACAATTTGCATATTAGCCTTTTATTATACAGGCTATACACTGAGTGGCCAGATTATTATGGGTTCAGAGATCATAATAATCTTGCCACTCAAGTGTATACTAGGGGCCTGGTGCATGAAATTCATGAATGGGGGGGAGTCCCTCAGCCCAGCCTGCACCCTCTCTAATCTGGGACCCTTGGGGGATGTCCAACTGTCTGACCAGCAGTTGGACATCCCTTTCACAATCCAGGACCACTGGCTCCTAACCGGTCACCTGCCTGCCTGATTGCCCCCAACTGCCCTCCTCTGCCAGCCTAATCACCCCCAACTGCCTCTGCCTTGGCCCCTGCCACCGTGGCTTTGTCTGGAAGGATGTCTGGTCTAATTAGGATATTGCTTCCCCCCCCCCACCCACACACACACACACTAGTACACACAAACATTGTGTGTGGGGACAGGATTTTTCTGATATTGAAAAGTATTAGTGGATTGTGAAATCATAAAAACAAAACATCAGTGCATCCCACAGAGTAATGATATATATTAGTGTTTAAAATGTTGGTTTCAGAGAGGTAAGCACAGTACTTGCATCCTCCCACATCACATCAAAATTACAACTAAAATACAGAACAACCATCTTTCAGAACCACCTGAAAGCTGGCTGATTGGAGGACCTACAACTAGAGAAGTAAAGAAGAAAGTGCACTGAGCCTGGTAGGAGGGGCAGAGGTGCAGAACAGGCTGGTCGGATACCCACACATGGATTGTTTTGAATTAGGAGGGATGTCTTAGCTGCAGAGGCTCCCATGAGCAGCAAGGAGTCTGTCTCACACCACACCCCTCAGCCCAGCTTCAGTGCTGGGAAGAGAAGACCCTCTAAAACCTAGCAGGGATTGTGGCTGAGTGTCATGGAGGATGCTGGAGACCCAGGCAGTTCCTCTTAAAGGGCTGGTGCATGGACTTACTAGTACCTGGACTCCCTCCCTCTGTGCTCCAGCTCTGGGGCAATAGCTTGAAAGGATCCAGAAACATATAGGAAGGAACTAAATTATCTGACATCAGGGCAAGACCTTGGGGGCAGCTTTCTCTCAGACAGGGGTCCTCACAGGAGTCATTGTTCTTGTGCTAAGACCTTCGCCATCAGAGTCACAGAGCCAACTGGCAGGCACCATATCTGAGTCTCCATCAACCTGGCCCTAACTACTCACTCTGCCCTGGTGATTCCCTGAGACGCCTCCTCACACAATTTGCAGCATTACCCAAGCTACTTGCAGCTGCTTTTTCCATATGCGTGGCCTGTCCTGGCTCACATGTCAGACTTTCCTAAAATCTCTCAAACAAATAGCAACTGGGCTCAGCATGCACCATACCACTGGATAAGTGGCCTCAAGTCCATCACTAGCAGCACCTGCCTTGATTCACAGCTTGACTTCTACTGGGCATCCAAGCCCAACACAAGTAGCAGCTCATATATCACTCTATAGCTCATGCCAGGTGGCCCCAGGAAGAGCACAGGCAGTGGCCGACTTTGCACCTCCCAGGATGCCCCAGAGCCAGTGCACTCTGTGGTCAGCTTTAGACCAGGCCAGATTACAACCCTACAACATCCACAAGCAACACACTCAAGGGACAGACTCAGTAAGCATGAAAGCCCCACTGAGGAAAGTCCTGCTCCATAAGGGGGTTTCCTGCACAGCAGCTCTTCCACTGTGGTCACACCTGGTCCTCAGAGCCATTGGCCTGGAGGTCAAGTCCTTCCAGTGCCAGCTGTGGGGGGCTGTTTCTCTCACGCAGAAAATGACAGGTTCCTGAGTGGAGGAGCTGGGGATTAAAAAATTAAAGAAAAAAAAAAAGAGTCCAAGAGGCAGAAATAGATTCATCAAGCTGGGATCTGGGTGGGGGGCTGTAACTCTGAAGGAGGGACAGTCAACACTCACCACAGACAACACACACATTTATTTATTTCCAAAGGGGGGTTTAAGGTCAAAGAAATTTTGAGTGTGCCCAGGTCCTATTCATTCCCCCATTCCTGGGATTTAGCATATCAAGACCTGGGTAAGTCAAGGTCCTATTCTTTCCTCATTCCTAGCACATGAATAGATAACAAATCAGTACTGATAACAGTCTCCCACATTTTGGGGAATCATGTTCCTAGGGTGTAGAGTTCAGCTGATGATAATTAAAGGTCATCCATGTGCATTCCCAAAGGGCCTTCTATAGATACCAACAGCAATCAAGGCTCAACTACCTCAAGATTGTCCACACACTCACACTGGGTGCACTTAGAGGGCCCAGCTCTGGTGACTGGGAGGCTGAGCCACTGGGACCTACAGGACACCTACTACACAAGGCCACTCTACCAAGTACGGGAGACGTAGCAGCTTTAATATAAAGAAACAAATACAGGGAAGCAAACAAAATGCAGAGACAAAGAAACATGTCACAAATGAAAAAACAGAACTCTCCAGAAAAAGGAACTAAATGAAATGGAAGCAAGCAAAATACTAGATACAGAGTTTAAAGAAATGTTTTTAAGGGTGCTCAAGAAACTTAAAACTTAATGAGACTTTCAAAGATCTTAGTGAGACTTTCAAGGATCTTAGTGAGAACATCAAAGTCATGAAAAAGTCAGAAATGAAGGATAATTTACAGGGAATCAACAGTAGAGTAGAGAACACCAAGAATCAAATCAGTGATGTGAAATACAAGGAAGCAACAAACAAACAAAACAAAACAGAAAAATAACAATGCCCAATGAGAGAGAGAGAGAGAGAGAGAGAGAGAGAGAGAGAGAGAGAATCCCAAAATATGAAGATAGTGTAAGGAGCCTCTGGGGCAACTTCAAGTGTACCAACATTTACATCATGGAGTCACCAGAAGGCAAAGAGAAAGAATAAGATATTAAAAACCTATTTGAAGAAACAATGACAGAAAAAAAACTCCCCCTAGCTTATGAAAGAAACAGACTTACAAAAAAGGCCAGGAAGCACAGAGAGTCCCAAATAAGATGAACCTGTCCTAGTCAGTTTGGCTCAGTGGAGAGTGTCAGGCTGTGAACTGAAGCCTCCCATCCAGGCTTGTTTCTGGTTAAGGACACATGCCCGGGTTGTGGGTTGTAGGAGGGGCGTGCAGAAGGCAGCCAGTCAATGATTCTCCATCATCATTACTGTTTCTCCCCCCCTCTCCCGCTCCCTTTCTCTCACTCTTCCTTCCTCTCTGAAATAAAAACAAAACAAAAGGATGAACCCAAAAAGGCCCACACCAAGAGGAATCATAATTAAAATGCCAAGGTTCAAAGACAAAGAGAGAATCTTAAAAGCAGCAAGAGAAAAGCAGTTAGTTACCTTACAAGGGAATAGCCATATGACTGCCTGCTAAGTTCTCAACAGAAACTTTGCAGGCCAGAAGGGAGTGGCAAGAAATATTCAAAGTGATGAATAGCTAGGACCTACAACAAAAATTATTCTACATCAGCAAAGCTATCATTTAGAACTGAAGGTCAGATCAAGAGCTTCACAGACAAGAAAAAGCTAAAGGAGTTTATTACCACCAAACCAGTATTATATGAAATGTCAAAGGGTCTTTAAAAAAAAAAAAAAAGAAAAAGAAGAAGAAGAAGATGAAGAAGACGAAGAAGAGGAGGAGGAAGAAGGAAAGAGAATATGAGCAATAAAATGACAATAAATACATACCTATCAACAATTGTATTTTAAAATCAAAATAAATGAACAAGGAATCTAATGAACAAAATAAACAGATGAATAAAATAGAACAAGAATCATGGAAACAGACTGATGAATCTCAGAGGAAAGGGGAGAGAAGGAGCTGGAAGAGATTAACCAAAGAACTTACAGTATATGCAATATGCATAACATATGGACACAGACAATAGGGTTGTGAAGGCCTGGGATGGGGCAGGTCCTGGGTAGATGGGAGCATTTGTGGGGAGGATATCTGTAATATTCTCAACAATAAACATTTTAAAAAAATTTTGTTTCAGTCATGTGTACATAATACACATGCATGTGTCTATAACATACATTTGTGTGAATTATGTGATATCTGTTTGTATAATACGTGTCCATATGTTTGTATATATGTATCCATAATATATTTGTAATGCATGTGCATGTGACATGTATATTTATTCATATGTGTATGTGTGTGTGATGTGTGTGTGTGTACACGGGTACGTTACGGATGCTAGCCAGGTCATGACGGGATACGTACGCACTCCCCGACAGGCGCCAAGTGTCTGATCCTTTCTTCTCCTATGAGGGTCGGCATCTTAGGGAGGTCGGTGCATCTTAGGGAGACCAGAGAGCGGCGCCTGCTTCCTTAAAGGTGCGCACCAACAGATACAGCTCAGGCCCGGGCGCCAGGCCCAGGCCCCGCCCCGCCGGCGCCCCGCCCCCGGCCCTCCCACGACGCAGGCCACGCCCACACGCCGGGTCCCAGCCCAGGCCCCGGCGTCACGGCCCCACCCTCTGACGCGCCGTCCACGCGAGCGCGCGCGCGTCGGGAGGGCGCCGCGGCGTCAATGGCGGGCGCGCGCACGGCGGTAGCGACCGGCGGCCATCTTTCCTCCCGCCGCCGCTCCGGGCGCGAGTGTGACGGGCCGGCTTCCCCGCGGCGCCCTGGGCCGGGCCGGAGCGGGCGGAGGCGTGGATGAGGGGGGACGTGAGGCGGAGCCCCCTCACAGTCACCGCCCCCCACGCGCGGACAGGCCCGGCGGGCGCAACACCGGGGTGGGCTCGAGGTCGCCCCCCGGCGCGGCCCGTCCTCCCCGCCGGGACCCTCCCGCCGCTTTCAAGCCCGGGCCCCTCCCCGATGGGCTAGGGCGGCGGCAAAGATGTTCAGCTTCGAAGGGGATTTCAAAACGAGGCCCAAAGTGTCCCTCGGGGGCGCGAGCAGGAAGGTAAGCGCGCCGGTGCCCGCGGCGCCCGGCCCGGGGGCGGGGACGGAGGGCCGGGTGCTGTGTCACCTGCCCGCGGCCGCCGGAGCCCGCTCGCCGCGCCGGACCCGCGGGGGGCTGGGGCTGGGGGCGGGGGCGCGGGGCCCCGGGTCCGCAGCGAAGGACACGGAGTTGCTCTTCGGAACCGGCCGCGCTGCCTCGTCCCGGCCGGGCCGCCCTTCTCCGGGCGCCGCGCGGGGCCGTCCTGCGGGACCTAAACCGGCTGCGCCGTCGGCCGCGTGTTCGAGTCCGAGGCTGTGGAAGTGACGCTTTCCCAGCCTCTGGGAACGTGTTTCTGGAAAGAATCTAGGGCTTTTTCACGACGATTCTTACCATTGCTGAGAACGAGTGGACAAACTGGAAACTGCACGTACACTCAAGCCCGCGCAGGTGCCGCGCCAGAGCCCACGGCCCTTGCCCGCCTGGGGCCTGGTGACCTGCACCCTGACAGGTGTGCCCTGCCCGCCTCCCTCTGGGCCTGCCCCGGTTTTATCTCCAGGGAACATCTCCGCTCCGAGGATAGGAGCTGGCACGCCTCGCTTTCTAGCTGTGCAAACAATTGCCCATTTCTACTACTTTTTACGGAGGCTTAGAGCTGACGTCATCAGGTCACAACATGCCCCTCTGTGGACCTGAGGAGGGACGGGCGAGGGCAGGGGAGGCCTCTTCCCAGGTGTGGGCAGAGCTCTGCAGTGAGGCTGACGTCTTATGCACCCGTGTTAGGCACTGGGAGCAGGCTTCCCCTGGTGAGGGTGTCACCCGTGGCCCCTTCAGCTGGGGCCAGGCCCCTAAGAAGGTAGCAGTGGCCTGCAGTTCTGGGGGATGGGCCCTGGCTTCTGTAGGTTCAGCTTGAAGGATTTTACCTGTGAGCACACCTGTGTGGCCACCACTCCTCCCAGCGTCCCCAGGCTTCCTCCTGCCCCCTTCCCCAGTGATCACTATTCCCATCTCTGTCACCACAGATTAGTTTTCCCTGATGAATGACCTGTGAATGGAGTCTCATACAGTTTGCTATTTTGTTGGGTCTGGCATCTTTGTCTCAGTTCTGAGAGGTGGAATCACCCATCTGGTTTTACCCCGTTGTGTGACACAGTTGATCCACTCTTTTTTTTTTTTTTTTTTTTTTTTTTAAGTCATCACTGGAGGATACTTTTTCCATTGCTTTTTAGAAAGTGAGGAGAGAGAGAGAAAAGCCAATGTGAGCGAGAAAAGAAACACCAATGTGAGAGACACATTGGTTGGTTATCGCTGGCATGAGTGCCAACAGGGCAGGATCAAATCTGCAATCCAGCCGAAACCGGTTTGGCTCAGTGGATAGAGTGTCTGCCTGCGGACTGGGGAGTTCCTGGGTTCGATTTCGGTCGGGGGCATGTGCATTGGTTGCGGGCACATCCTTGGTGGCGGGTGCAGGAGGCGGCCGATCTAGAAACATCTCATTGATGTTTCTAGATCTCTGTCCCTCTCCCTTCCTCTCTGTAAAAAAATCAATAAAATGTATTTTTTCTTTAAAAAAATCTGCAACACAGGTACGTTCCTTTGACTTGAAATCTAACCTGTGTAGATACTTTGGAGCGCAGGCTGACACTAACCACTGAGCACACTGGCTAGGGTGACCATTCTTCTCTATAGGCATTTGTTTGTGGGTCTTCTCTTCAGGTGGACACACTGAGATGCCTGTCCTATGTTCCACATGGGCTTCGCCCTGGGCACTTTCCCTTTCCGGCCACCCCTGCCAGGTGAGGGTGCCAGTGCCTCCACCTCTTGCTAACAGTACTGTCAGTCCCTTTAATTCTGGCTGTTCTGGTGGGGATATAGTTTCATTGTAGTTTCGATTTTGTTTCTTGATATTGAACACCTATCTTCATAATGCTTATTCTCCTTAATTAATTCTCTTTGGCTGAATTACGGTCTTTCCCTTATCTGAAAGACAGAAGTTACAATGATCTTTCCCCCATGAGTTAAATTAGTTGACAACGTCCCTTTTTTCTTGAGCTTAGTGGGAAACCTTTTGAATATATACTTCTCCCCCGTTACAAATGAGCATTTTTAGTGGTTATTTCTAAAGGCTTCTGTGTAGGATCTGAAACTATGAGGAAACATCATGTCCTCATTATTACTTTATTTTATTTTTTATTGATTTCAGGAAGGAAGGGAGAGGGAGAGAGAGATAGAAACATCAATGATGAGAGAGAATTATGGATTGGCTGCCTCCTGCACACCACGTGGGATTGAGCCTGAGCAAACGTCCTGACTGGGAATCACGTGACCTCCTGGTTCATAACACTTAACCATTGAGCCATACCGCTGGACAGGGGCTTAGCCTTGAAGGATGAGTAGGATTGGGGTAGGTCAGAGACAGGAAGGGTTGCCTGCAGGTAGGAGGGTGTGAATGGACTTAGTATTCATCAGACTCTGTTGTCTGTGGGTCACACAGGCTTCCGCTTCTTAACATTCTGAAGTCGGGTGGATGGTGGTGGCACACCATGGTTTATTGGCAGTGGGTTCCCCTATTTGGTGGTGTATAGAAGATGTTGGGGTTATTTGATTACAAATATAGGAATCCCCTGAAACTGTCTTAGAAGACAAAAGAATATGGGAAGACAGGACATACCTCACAGAATGGAAGGACAGAAACATCCAGACAGCTAGTCAGCAGCACCAAGGTGGTTACTCTCTCCCCCTCCATTGTGCCATCTCCTGCCTTCTTGGCTTTCTGCAGACTGGCATTCTCCTTTCATCTGCAAATGATCTTGGCGAGTATGATTTCCTAGTTCAGTTGTCAACTGAGACAGTTGGATCTCAATCCCAATTCTTAGTAGTGGGAATCTGATTAGTCTGGGCAGGAGCTGGAGCTGTTGGTATAGAAGTCTAGATGTAGGAGGGGTGGATGAAGGGTTTGGTTCTTCTGGACATAGGTGGGTGTACAACAGGCTGTTGACTGTGCCTGTGTGCTTGTGCATGTGTGCCTATGTGTGTGTGGCTGTGCATGACGGGAGAAATCTGGGTTAGACATGGAGATTTGGGACTTAGCTTCGAACTTAGCTTAGGATGGGTAGCTTAGAACCAAATCACCAAGGGAGAAGACAACATTAAAAAAACAACATTTTATTGATTTTTTTTTTTTTTACAGAGAGGAAGAGAGAGGGATAGAGAGTTAGAAACATCGATGAGAGAGAATCATCGATCAGCTGCCTCTTGCACACCTACTGGGGATGTGCCCGCAACCAAGGTACACGCCCTTGACCCGAATCAAACCTGGGATCTTTCAGTTTGCAGGCTGAGGCTCTATCCACTGAGCCAAACCAGTTTCGGCAGAAGGCAACACTTAATGTGAGGGGAATACTTAGGAAAGAATCACGTGGGGTGGGGTGGGGTGGGGAGGGGATGGAGTGACACAGAGCCAAGTGCTGCAGGGATGCAGTGAGAATGCTAACCAATAGGAAGGCTTGGTGACTGTAGGGAGCTATTGCCGGGTGGTAGGAGCTAGAAGGCAAATCATAGCACATTGAGGGGTGAATGGAAGTCAGGGTCTTAGCAAGGCTTTTGGGTTTTTGGGGAAATTTAAGCAAGTTTAGAGGAGGGAGGGTTTCAGGCTGTTGAATGACCTGTGAATGGAGTCAGGGCCTAGTGGAAGCAAAAGTGAGAAGACTCCAGGGAGAAGAAGAGGGACATATTTTTAGATTTAAAGGAAAAAAGTGGATGTGGACACAGAAGAGTTTATAGATATGAAGGAAAGTAATTCCTCCTCCAACTTTCCAGATAGTTGAGGTGAATGTGGCAGAACTAATATTTCTTTAATATATATATATATATATTTTAAAATATATTTTATTGATTTTGTACAGAGAGGAAGGGAGAGAGATAGAGAGTTAGAAACATCGATGAGGGAGAGTCATCGATCAGCTGCCTCTTGCACACCCCTACTGAGGATATGCCTGCAACCAAGGTACATGCCCTTGACCGGAATCGAACCCGGGACCTTTCAGTCCCCAAGCCGATGCTCTATCCATTGAGCCAAACCGGTTTTGGCTCTTTAATATTTTTAAAGAAATTAATAGAATTCACTTTTTAGAGCTTTCTTATGTGTATAGAAAATCAAGCTGATGGAACAGAGTTCCTCATTCCCCCTTTCCTCCACCTCACATTTCTCCTGTGGTTAGCATCTTGAATAGGTGGTTCATTTGTCACAGTTGGTGAGACAATATTGATACATGAAGGCTGGCTGTTGGTGCTGTACTTGCTGTGGGTTTTGATGAATGCATAGTGATGTGTGTCCAGTGCTATAGTCTCAGACAGCGAAGCTCCTTGCTCTGAAAGCCCTCTGCCATTTACCTGCACATCCTCCATCTTACCTCTACTCCCACTTTAGCCCAAAGGAAAGGGTTTTGCCTAAATATCCTTTGAGTTGTGTAGAATTTTTAGTGTCATGTAAGTGCTTGAGAGTGGGAAATACTAACTTGAAGCAGATGTAAAACTGATCATTCGTTTACATTGTTAAGTGGAGGTAATTGCTAATGACAATAACCCAAATAAATGAAGCAGTAGAAACCTCATAGCTGTTTTATTTTAAATCAAGATGTCAATAAACATGCTACAGTTCTTTTTTATAAATGGTTAGCAGTTAATTTGAGCATTTGATTTTATAGAAATTGGCATGTTGTGTAAATTTACTTCGACATATACTAATTTTTTACCATAATGTTTTTTATTCTGATGGTTAAGGAAATCTAATCTTCCTATCTTATTTAAACTACATATGACTTAATTTTCTAAAAATTTATTTTTGTTACCACTAAGTTTATTTGCATGAAGAAAGCATTTTTCCCCCACATAGGAACACCTCTGTTATGGTATTTGTGAAGTTTGGTATTTAATTTTTAGAGTAGGTAAGATAATGTGTCTCAATCTCAACTACTAAATAGAGAAGTTTGCTGTTTACATATTGATACATAAATAGGTTTAGA